CGTCGCGGGACACGCCCCCACGCGGCGCGGATGTGCACGGCCGTTGGCTGCAACCGCTGGCACCTCCCCTTTTGCTAGCCCCCGCCGCTCATGATGATTGGGCCGTTTGGATCCGTGTGGGCGCCCGAGCGGGGATTGGTCGAGGCTGGGCTCCACCTAAGAGGCGGGGATGAATCTCTCATTGGCCCGTAGAGACGCCCGTCACGGAAAAGGAGGACGGGAAGCAGGTGCTGGGAAGGAGAAGCTTCTACCGTGACCTCGGAGGGGTTTGGGCCTGAGGTCGGAAGTCACAGCTGCGAAAGGCCTCCGTGGAATGGATACAGGGTAGTGGGCAGTTTCGAAGTCGGGGGAGCGAGCCCCGAGAGCAAGAGGGCACACCAGCCAGGTCCCTTCCCTGTATCCCTCTTTGGGTGGGGTCAAAGGTCAAAAAGTAACCCAAAGGGATCAATTATATGCAAAAAATTTTATTAAGCGTCACTAGGGTGGGGTTGGGGAGGAGACGCGAGGAACCGGCTCTATCCTGGAGGCGCTTGCGGGGAGAACTCGGAGCGCAGCTGGCATAGTTCAGCAAAGCGCTTTCGGTGGGAAACGCGATCTGCCGGCTTGATAAGGTTGAGATTGCCCTTTGCAGTGCCTGTCAAGTGTTCCTCTCTTGCTCTACTTTTTTTTTTTTTTTTAATTTTGAGAGAAACCTCTCTTCAAGTTGCTCAGGTTGGGCTTGAACTTGAGATCTTCCTGCCTCAGTCTCCTGAGTGGCTGGGATGACAGGTGTACTCCACCAGGCTGGGCTGTTCTCTGCATTATTGCGCTGGAACAATCAACGTCTTGTCTTGGAGGCTGTAGGGTCTGCATGCTAGTCCCTCTGCCTCCCTTTTATCTATAAAATGGGCCCAAGAACCAGATTTTGGATTTTTGGGGGGTTTTGTTTTAGGAAGTTTCATGCATGGTAACTAAGCACACGTTCCACCATTGAGCTATGTCCTCAGCTTTTTTGGGTGGCTTTTTTTTTTTTTTTGGTACCGGAGATCGAACTCAGGACCTTGCACTTGCTAGTCAGGCAGCCGAACCACTGAGCTACCCTGCCCCCTCTTTAATATTGAGATAGAACCCAGGGCCTCCCACACGCTAAGCAAGTGCTCTACCACTGAGCTACATCCCCGACCCTTTTCTTTTTTCACTTTGAGATATAATCTCATTAAGTTACCCAAGCTGGCCTTCCATTTTCAAACCCCTCCTGCCTCAGCCTCCTAAGTAGCTGGAGTTACAGGCATGTGCCATTGAGCCTGGCAGTTTTGGGTGTTTGTGAGGGGAGCCACCTCAAGCAGCTGTCACACTAATCGCTTGAACTTGGCTCCCTCAGATTAAGCAGTATGGCACAAGTTCTTGTTTTTGCAGTACTGGGGATGGAATCCAGGGCCTTTGTACTGAGCTACATCCGCATACCAATTTTTATTTATTTATTTATTTTGGTACCAGCGTTCAAACTCAGGACCTTGTGCTTTCAAGGTAGGTGCAGTGCTACTGAGCTACATCCCCAGTCCCCCAGTTTTTATTTTTATATTATTTTGAGACAGGGTCTCCAAGTCACTAAGTTCTCCAGGCTGGACTAAAACTTGTAATAATGTCTCAACCTCTCAGAGTGCTGCTATGACAGGTCTGTGCCCCGGGCTCAGCTGACATGAGCTGTAGTGTGGTTTTTATTTTATTTTATTTTATTTATTTATTTTTATTTCTTTCGTCCCGGGGATCAAACTGAGGTCCTTGAGCTTGTGAGGCAGTCACCAGACCACTGAGCTAAATCCCCGGGCCCATTTAGTGTGTTTTTTAAAACATTTGTTGAGCGAGGCGTGGTAGTGCATGTCTATCGTTCTAACACTTGGGGGGTCAGAAGCAGGAGGATGATGAGTTTGAGGCCAGCCTGGACTACATAGTGAGACCCTGTCCCCCCCCACCCCCCGCCAAAAAAAAAGATTTTGGACGGAAGGATTGCAGGGGGGCTGTATGTGGACCTCTGTGGCCACTAGGGGGCGCATGCGGACCATGGCAGAGGCACAATGATCCGGGAATCCCAGTGGCGCCCATCCTGTCACACATGCTGTCCTTTCCGGGGAGACGCTTGGGGTTGATACACTTTGCTGGACTTTGTCACATTGTTACAGGCGGAGCAGCAATCTCAGAGCACACACGGTCCTAACACCATCTGTCACCCCCTGCTCTCTGGGGACTCTGAAGACAGGACATCTCTAAAACAGGTGTTCCTGGGCACTGTTAGGCACCTACCTGTGCCAGGAGTTCCTCCAATCGTGACAATCACATGTGTTCCCAAATGTCACCAAGAGTTCCCTGGGAACAGAGTTGCTCCCAACCGTGAGAGACCCTTGGTTAGAAATTCACATTGCAGTTTTTGTTTTGTTTTGTTTGAGACAGGGTCTTGCTATGTAGTTCAGCGTAGCCTCGAACTCACTATGTAGCCCAGGCTGGCCTCCTGAACTCATGGTGATCCTCCTGCTTCAGCCTCCTGAATCCTGGGATGACAGGCGTGTGCCGCCGCACCTGGCTTTTCTGGCTGTATATGCATCCCTTTCACTCTCCAAGGTCTGTCCAAATCAGATCAAATCTTCCCTCTCAAACCCCTGCACCCATGAATGTACCCTGTCTCCGGAGTCACCGTACTGGGTGTCTCCATTCCGGGCAGCCCACGCTGTGTCCTTGTGCATCTGGCATCTCTCACTGAGCATTGTGTCCTCAAGGCAAGATCTGCTCATGCTATGGTAAGTATCACGGCCTCGCTCCTTTTCATGATTGAGTAATAGTTCATGTCCTCCATGCTGCTGCATGACCTTCTGTCCATCGACGGACAGTTGACTTGATTCTGTCCTCTGGCTACTGTGAATGTGCACACGTTTTTGTTTTGGGTACCGGGGATCAAACTCAGGACCTTGCATTTGCGAGGCAGGTGTGGTGCCACTGAGCCAAATCCCTGGCCTTGTACACATTTTCATATGGATGTACATTTTCATTTCTTTGGTGTAGGTGTCATAAAGAGTAGAATTACTGGGTCTTGTACTGTCTGTGTAAGTTTTTGAGGCTGGTTTTTGTTTAGTGTTTTTTTGGTTTTTTTGAGACAGGGTGTCACTCTGTAGTTGAGACTGACCTGGAACTCACTATGTAGCTCAGGCTGGTCTCGAACTCACAGCGATCCTCCTGCCTCAGCCTCCCGAGTGCTGGGATTACAGGCGTGCGCCACCACGCTTGTTTTTTCTGTTTTTGTTTTGTGGTACAGGGGTCAGACCCAGGCCTTGCCACTGAGTTACATTCCCCAGCCCTTAAAAATTTTTTAATAAAAAAAATTGTAATTACTTAGAAGCATTCAGAATGTCAACAAAACAGCTGCAATTTTTTTAAAATTTTTGCGATTACAGAGTGGTATTCAGTTAATAGAACAACATTTCATATAAGCTGCATTGGAGACAACTGAGGATGAAAAACTACCGTCTCCATATATAGCTAATTTGTGCTGTGCACCAACAAGAACCTGCCTTAAATTTCCATGCCAGTTTACACCCCCATCCTGTACCAGGCAAGGTCAGTGGCTATTGAAATAACCACCGGGACAAGGCTATCTAAAGACACATTCGGTAGTGTGTGAACTATGCAAAAAAAGACACTTTAAAAACAAGTTTTTAACAGTACAGTTTTTAAAAAATCTTGTTTGTTTGTTTGTTTGTTTGGTGTTTTGAGACAGGGTTTGACCTGGAACTCGCTAATGTAGCCCAAGCTGGTCTTGAACTCACAGTGATCCTTCTGCCTCAGCCTCCTGAGCCACCACGCCCGGCTTTTTAAAAACAAATCTTATACAGCTTTACATTTCAGTTTTTTTTTCCTTCAAAGAAGTGAGTTATGTACAGGAGGGTTAAATGCTTTATAAACAAGGAAAAAACTGCTCTTGAACGAACTTATCATCTTCATCTTCCTCCTCCTCATCTTCCTCCTCTTCCTTCTTTTTCTTACTTTTTTCAGCCCTCACGATTCCCTTTTCTGGCTGCATCACGTTTTCCTTTAGCTCGGTAGGCAGCGATGTCCTTTTCATACTTTTCCTTCAGCCTGGCAGCCTCCTCCTAAGGCTGCTTGTCACCCGCTGCAGTATTAGTCTGCATTTCTCCCAGTTTCTTTGCAGCATCACTGATGGAGAGGCCAGGGTGTCCTCCTCTGATTTTGGGGCGATACTCAGAACAAGAAGGCCAAAGGATGCCTCTTGGGCTCATTGGGATCCTTGAACTTCTTTTTGTTTCTCCTTTAGGAGGGGTAGAGCTTTGCATTTCTCTTTCATAACGGGCCTTGTCCGCCTTTGCCAGGTCTTCAAATGTTTCCTTTCTCTTTGGCAGACATGGTCTTCCACCTCTCGGAGCGCTTCTTAGAACCCTCTGAGAAGTTAACGGAAGCATCTGGGTGCTGCTTCTTGTGCTGCTCTCCGCAAGTTTGCACAAAGAATGCACGTGATAGCCGGGTGTGGTGGCGCACG